CTAATGCACTGATTAAGCCTGAGTCTCAACTTAAGACTTTCACAACTTCAAACAGATCTATAGAAGCTGTACCTAAGCTCAACATTCATAGTGAGGAATGAAATCCCACGGGCTTTGGTGGAAGCAGAAACACTGTTCCCGGTTCTGTCACAGGACAGACGCTGCCGGCCCTGTGATACAAACCCACGCAGATGCCCAGGGTGGGCTCTCCCCCAGATGGGCCCAGGGGGCATCTCAGGAGCAGCGGTGGCTCTCTAGACTCTCTAGACTTCTCTGCCTAGAACAGTGGGGTCCTGCACTGCCAGGCCTCTTCCCAGGGTTGTTTCCCAGTCAGCCCTTCCGTCCTAAAAATCTAAGGACAGATATTTATCTAATGATTCCATAGCTAACCGTGACATGAGGCTGAGTTTCATTTGACCTGTATTCACAAATCAAGAGGCCTTCTTTAGAACACAGAAAGAGCTCAAAGCATTTTGAGAATCCAGGAGCCAGAATCCAGCCTGACAAATGTCACAGACTCCCTTAAAAATACTCCATTTTTCTCCTGAGATTTCCACTGTTGCTTTCATAGTTTGTCAAGCAGCCCCCCTTCAGATTGAACAAAGTATCTGCAGTTCTCATTCATCACAAGTCTCAGAACTGAAGCACTCCAGCTGCTCTAGGGCTATACCCTTAAATGGGATCTTGCTGTGATGTTACACTTGCCTCTTGTTATGACCTTGACTATTTTTGACACAGATATAAAGATGAAATAGGCTCTTGCCCTTAATGAGAGTTTGTACAAAACACTCTTTCCAAAGTAAACTATGTTATATGTGTATGCACATTACGGATCAGCTCGTGCCAGACAGCAATACTATAATCTATCTCTCTCTCGTAGGTGACACAGCATGAAGAACCATGGATTGGTGTCATTTATCAACATATCTTTAATTACACTTTGGGCAAGTACTTTATTTTCTACTGAAACGAAGAGCAAGGCAAACTTTTTAAAACCACCTTAGTTTTTCGTTACAAATTCTGCACGTGTTTGCTTTGAAATTTCCCCAAGTGGTGTCCACAGTTTTGGAAGATGCTGCTTGCAGCTCGCAGCTCTTTCTCTGAACTTTCCTTTTCCTACCTATCCTCCACAGTGCTGTGAATTCGCTTTTAATCAGAAGGGGCTCTGAGATGTTCCCCAAAGTGAAAGATTTTCATTAGAGCCAAAATATTTTTCAATAATACGGCCTGATGAATTTTAGTATTATAAAAGAAAGGCTGCCCATTCTTTATAGGGACCTCATCCAAAGCCCGATGAACTTAACTGGAGGCTTTCTTTAGGTTTCACTGAGGTCTTTTTAACAATTTCTTCAAAACTGACTCAGCAACATCCTTAAGCAGCTGCCTGGTTTAAAATAGATGAAGAGTCCTCCTCACGTGACAAGTTAGGGATACGCTTAAGTGCTTTGCTGGATGGGGGCCTAACAGCTTGCAAATACAGATGGCTATTATCAAGACCTAGAAAAGGCCAGGTAACCACCAACAGTCTACCAGAACTTCAAGCCAGTGCATCATACTGTTTGAAGTTAATTGCTTTAAAATAATTGGGCAGGTGAGCAGGTAAGTTCACATGGAGCATTTGCCATTTGCCTTTGTATTAAAAAGAATGCAGATTGCGTAGACAAAATGGGCATGATTTTAGAAAATGGAAAAAGTTAAAAGGGAAGGGACATGGTATGTGCTTTTTTTAAAGATTTTTCTCTCTAATGATGGGAAGTATTTTTTACCATCATTAAAACCTTGAAAAGCATTCTATTGCACAACTTCTTTAGTTAATACCTCATTACTTCTCTTTTTATTGTTATGGTAATCAAGCCTTAATATATTGCGGCTTTATAGCATGAAATCAAGGCTAGGCCTGCAGGCATCGACAGATGTACAACAGCATGCAGTAAAACACAGGTATAGAGGCATGCAGAGCTGAATATGGCATGGGGTTTTTTTATAATTGTTTGCAATTCATCTGAAGTTATTTTAACCTTGACAACAGATGAACTCTAACACGTTGTATGATCGGTCACGGGATGCTGCAAAGGACAGCAAGTTTTGTGATTGCTGCCTTACAGACTGAGTTTTATGAGAGCATGAAACAAAGCCTGAGAAAGATGCTTAAATTGTTTGGATAACTACAGGCTGTAGCTGTAACTATTCAAAACATTTAACTGAATGTGTTCTAACCGAGGGAGAATGGTAATGCTGGGGAACTGGATTGAACACCAGAATTTTGCCTTTCTGCAGGAAATGTGTGCTCAGTGTCAGAATTCATACCCTCTCCTGGCATAGTCAGTCTTTGGTGTGCACCAAAAAGGAATATTTGGACCTGACTTCTGTTTTTTACAAGACACCGAGACCTTGTGCTGGAACCCTTTTCAGGATTGAATTTCACCCATCGAACCATATGGTTTTTAGAAAGCTTTGATGGTCTGGTCTGCAGTGTTGAAATACCACCACCAAGAGAGTGAGTCTCCCTAGATCTTTTCAAAAGAAAATAGATGACCCTCAGTAGCAAGTAGGTTCCCCTTCTCAATATTATTCTCAGGAGAGATCATTCAGAAACAATTATAGCCGTTATGAGATTTTCTAAATGTAAAAAGCATTTTGGCTAGCAACCCCTTTTCCAGTAAAGTAGTTTAAAGGGCTGGCATTAAAAGCAACATGCCTACAACTTCATCTATAAAGTCAGAGGTATAAAGGTCACCACAGCTTTGCTGTACAGTCCCCACAGGGAGCAGGTGGCTTTCACAGTTCACAGCTATATGTAAAGTAGATGTAAAGCCCAGTAAAAGTGAATGCTGTTTTCCATGTTATACTGGTAACAACAGACATGAGTCAATACTTGGATCATTAATGTATCTGAAAATCCTGATCAGTCTCAGTCAGGGAAAAGCTCCCAGCTTTTCTCTCAGAAATGCTCTGAATAACAAAAATACTGTATTCAATCTATATCTACACTATACCTGTCCCTCCAGAGTTCCCTAGCAACAGAGAGGCCACTGCTCCAAATTTTTAGTGTCAAGCATAAAGGTGAGCACCTCTCTCACATCTAGTAAAGACTTATTGCAAGTCCTTACTGCACTTGATGGTGGTAAGTCCTTGTCAGAGCAGACCTTAGGACAGGAATGGTTGTTGCTCCGCATATAACAAATGGATTGGAAGACAATGGCCACTATAGTCCAGCGAATACACTAATTACATTAATAAAATGAAAGCTTAAATTTTGAAGCTAATCCTGGGCTATCATTTATAAAAGTTAACAGGGCATATTTAATTTAGGAATTGGCTAACGCTTCTCTTCCCACTGCTGAAACCTCATAAATGAAATATACTGGATTGCTGCCCAGTGCGGAAATAAAAGTTGTGAATAATGTTTCTATCTCAATCATTGTCAGTGCTTTAATATTCCTAATTACTTTAAAAAGCTAAATATTCAATACAGGAAAAACCTTCTTTTCTTTTTTCTTCACTTGCAAGATTAGTGCAATTTTATAAGAGTCACCAGGTAGTTTTGGTCCACCAGGACAGTGACATCTTATCCTTTACTCTTTATTATTAGATAAATTGAGTACTTACTAGAGTACGGGTGTGTGCACATGTGTATTAACGTTATATCTCTGCGTGCACATCCATCTTATTAGAGAGTTTTCTTATTTTCTCTTTTTTTTTTTTTTTTAACACATCTTAATGGGGTATATAGAGTATAAATACTCACTGGCTGTTAGGCTAAACGTGTCAACTGCTAAAAATAACCACATGATCAAATGAGTTATTAGGGTCCAGGATTTTAATAAATATTTATAGGTAGATATTCACTATCTTACACTGCCAATTTTTTCCCTTGTCTACCTGCCAGGTAATCCCTGAAGGCTCCTTCAGACCCCAGACCCCAAGGCCTGGCCTTCTCTTCCATCCTCCTTCCTTTCTCCATTTCTTTTGCTGTTGTAGCAGGGGAGACACTGGCAAAGCTACAGGTGGAGCAGCAATAACTTCCCTGAACAGATTCCACCTCATTGACCCCAGCTTCTAGAGCTGTTTTCCTCAACTCATATTTAAATGCTATCCTCTTCAAAATTGCCAGTATTTCTAATGTCTCCCTGTATGTTTATGCTTTCTTCTATCTTTTTGCCTCGTAATGTCTCTTTTTCAAAATCCCAATCAACCTGAGAGGGAGGAACTAAAGGCAAAATGAAATATTCATTCACTAAACAACTCACAGCATCTTTCTAGATGCAGCTTTATTTACTCACCTGTGCACAAATAGACTTCATTTAACAAACTAGCTACTGTTGTGTCAGTCATGGACTGGGCCCATATTGCCTAACATCTCTGATGTTTATAGCGGAAATAATACAAGCTTTTTAGCATGAATTAACACAGACTTAAACCCATCTTCACCAATTAACACAGAGTTTGACACACACATCTCCTCCAACTGAAAGAACTGGTAGCCCCCAGTGTGAATTCATTTCATATTACAATGTGCAGAAGTTTCACCTCAGCCATCACACCAAGCTCTGCAGAAGGGACAATCCAGGGGGTGAATTTCAAGTCAGAAGGTAGAATCTAGGCTTCATGAAGAGACAATGTCCTTTAGCAGGACAAGGATTCTGTCTAGAAAGAATGCTTGCCACCAACATATTTCATATAGCATCATTAAGATTAGAGAGAATAATTTCATAAGAGAGCTGTACTATCTGTATTAACATTCCAGTAACAGGTCGGAAAGCAATGGGAGGATCCTTCACTGCATTTAACATGTCTTTACAAAAACAAGCAAAAAGATGAAAATCATTATTACTCTATCAGTAGCAAAGAGGAAATATCACAGATTAATGGTTGCAAAATAAACACTGTGCACTTCATATTCCAGTTAAAGCATCCATGTTCATAGCCACTGTTTGACTCAGTTTTCTTTTTTTAAACAGCAATATGAATCTTTAAAAGGTTTTGCGATATTTACTCACCACTAGAGCAGTCAGTACCTCCCCATCCTGGTTCACAATGACAAGTGTCAGGAGAAACACATCTTCCGTGCACACACTCCTCTGTGCAAAGTGCTGTTGAGAAGAAACAATACACAGCACTGTAAACATGCACAAAGCTACACCTTAGCAATATTTTGTTTAAAAATATTAAGCAAAACAAACCAAAAAGAATTATTTGCAAGATTTAATTAATACTAAGTGACCAAAATAGAGGCCTCTTGATAGCAATAAACTCATTTATCAGTTCAGCTCTCTGTAATGAAAAACTCCAATACCAGAAAATACTTGGGTTAGCAATTTTGTTTCATAATAAAAATCTTACCAAACTGACAGTCAAAGTTAGAGAATACCAACTTTTTACTCAAGTTGTTACAGTTCATAACAGAAAAAGGAGTTTGGTTTTAAAAGTGTATTAAGATGCAAAGCCAAATTTTAAAAAAAAAAAAAAAAAAAAGAAAAAAACTCAAGGAAAATAATTTCACTATATGATGTTGTAGCTTGGTCTTTTCAAGGTTTTCAATAACCAGTATTCAATAACTTATTTTCCAACTTAATGAAAGCTTAATCTCCCAGTTTCAAAATACAAAAAAAAATGGCTGTTTTTTAAGTCTTATTTGCTAGCTGACTAGAGATATGCATAGGAGGATCTGCTTTTCGTCTTCCTAAGCAAGAACAGGTTGTGATTTTAAGACATTTCTTTTCCTGTGCTGCCTTGGTGCCAGATGTATGTTTCCATGCATACTGGAATGCCCATCGCATATAAACAAACCTGGATGAGATGAGGAAGTACGGAGCCTCGCTGCCTACTGCCTTTTGGGGCCGAGAGTGTCCGGGATTTAACCGTTTGGTCACCAAGGAACAAACCCAGAAATCTGTTCACAATATAGTTAAATCCAACTTCAAACCACAAGTGATCTTTTTATAACCTTAACTGTGGGACAAATCTTCTTGTTCTTTACAGATCAAACTGCACATGACCACTAAGTAGAATGTTTCCTAATTATAATGATGACAAAGTCTTTCTAGATTAGTCATTTCCTTTCTAGGTTCTCTGCATGTCAAAACTGCAATTTATTCTTATTGCATATCTTGTGTTTAGGCAGTACTGCAGGGGGCATGAAATATTGATAGCTAATTTTCTAGTGTTTAATTGTCCTAATCTTTTGTGCATTTATTTTACTTGAGTTAGCGTTTCTGAAGATAGTGAGATCCTAGTCTACAGATGTAAGATTAAATTCAAGATGGGATATTAGAAGAATGGGATGTTTTCATGAAAAAATATAAGCCTCTTACTATCATTCAAAAATCATTGGTCATCTATGACAAGAAGAAGTCCAAACTCAGAATAAACATGAAGTTTTATGTTAATGTTAAAGTACAGCGTGAAAAAGATGTACAACATGCTGGGAAATGGGTGCTTTGAGAGCCATGCTCTGTAGAGCTTTACGTAAGAATACGATTCTCTTCTCACTGATGTAACCCCTACACATTTATTTTATTAGTGTTAGGGAAACTGAAACAGATTTTTCTGTTCCCTGTACAGACATTTATGATAATAGATCATTCTTTTATATGCAAAATGTGCAACATATTTTTATCCTTTTAACCAGACCACACTCTTGGGTCAAGGCATGATTTATGAGTAAGAAGGTTGATGGTGGACTATGTGCTCCTCTTCCAAATAACAAAGTTCCTGCTCATTCTTTATCCAAATTTAGCTGATATAGACACACAGTCATATCACATCTTAACCATTAACATATATAGGAAGCAATAATGATTAAGATAATAACATTTTCTTAATTACTTATTTATAGATAGGTTGACTTCTTTAATAGTGCTCCGCTCCCTTGGGAAGAGTGTTATATAAGACATGTAAACAAGACTCAAGATCATATTCCTCATTCTAAATCAATCATCGCCATGAGAATTACAGAAAGCACCTCTGAGAACTGTCTCGTGTTTTAGGTGTTCTGGAATCCCTCACAGCTGAAGGTGACAATCTTTAATTAGGAAAGAGTCAAGAAAGTTAAAAACACAGTTCCAGGGAACTGTGGGTACTTTCATCTCTGGTTTATTAACTTGCTAAAGAAGTAGCTATGAGCTCACTAGAATATAGTCACTTAAAGCTATGAAATTACATAGGACTAACCCCATACATGGGGTCACACAAATCCCCTTTTCTAACAGAGAAGCTAATTTGATAGAAGCCATTTTATTCTAGGAAGCAAAGAATCAGACTCCTTCCACTGTGTGACCTGAATCAGGTCTATAAAGGTCCATATAAAGGACAGATTAGGGTACTACTCTGAAGTTATACTGTGGCAAATACAATTTCATATTTCTCCATATAAAAGGGAAGTCTCGCCTTGCTCTAATCTTTGCAGTTTAAATTAATTTTTCATTCTATTAACATTCAACATAATAGGATACAATGGTCCCCAAGGCATTCTTCATAATATACTTTGTACAGTGGCTTGCAAATGATCTTACTAGTTAATGGAACTATAAAAATTACTTGCACATAAAGGTCAAGAAAAATAAAGATAAGTATATACTTTCTGACACTGTCCTGTTCGACACACAGCCAAAGGCCCCTGGAGTAAAGAAAACTCACATTAATGCAAGTAATATAATTCTTCCCAGTATAATAATAGCCCAAGCAGTGCAACCTTTGGAATTCCAGACTTTTTATGTCTGCATTTTCCCCTGACCAATTCTCTTGGAACAATCCAGCACCTCATTGATCAGTTTATTATTAGCATTCTTGGCACGAGTTTAAGATCAGTTTGTAGTTTGATTCAGTCTGGTAATAAAATGACCTACATCAAAGCCCTGCCAAAATGCCAACTTTGTAGCAATGCGTTCAGCATGACTTATTTCACCATATTCAAGGTCACACAAGAACTGCTCCTTATCATGGACTAAAGGCAACAAAAGAGTTCTACAACAACTATTTTGATGGTTATCACTTAACTTTATAATTACAAAGAGTGCTTTTTTAAAAACATAGATGGCAAATCCTTAGTGAAATACAGTGACTTGTTTCCTATGGTGTTGCATTTCTTTGTGTGGGGGCCAAGTCTGTGATTCTACAGGGTTTAATCACACTGTATAACGCTATTTACACACACTGTTTATCACTACTTTCCAACACATTGACTTCTAGTATTCCCCGAAGCAATGTAACTAACACGGCCAAAAATTGTCTTCTTAGCCTCTTTACAGGAGTGAAAGTACATTTAAACAAGAGTTTCATTCTTGGGAAAGAAAATGGAGTGCTTAAGCTTGGGAAGGTTTCACTAGCTTGTCCAAAAATACAACTTTTGTGTTTATTTCACCAAAAGCAGAATCAAAAAAGGTGTCTTGTGCTTGTGATGGAATGTGGCGACATTTACAGTGGTCCTTTGAACATGGAGTCCACAGCCTGCGATCCAGCAAAGCCCTGTCGCCTTCCCCCTTCGGCTTGTAGGACTGTGTTGTGCCAGACGAGCAACGTATCTTTGCAACAAAGACAAGTAAAATTACAACTTCTAACGGAACCCAGGGTAGAAAGGAGAGACCTGCGCGGCTGCGCGTGCCGCTGAGGCTGCAGCGCTCGGTGCTAGCGGGGGATCCCGGGGCTCTGCAGGCTTCCTGCCCGGGAATAGCGTCCAACACTGTGCTCCAGCCAGGAGATGATGGAAAGCATAAATAACAGGAGCCACGCTACAGCGTGCCAGCATGGCAGAGACTCTTAAAGACAACTGGACGCAACAGAAAATATCATTAGCTGAAGATACAGATGGTACTAATGGAAAGAAATTCAAGCACTTTTCAGAGCTACACAGAAAGAACGAGTCTATTGTGGCTGCACGTGTGGCCAAAGGGCACTGCTCCCTGACTCCGAGTTCTTCAAAACAGCCTCCTTTTCTCCGTCCCACCTGCAGTTTAGGTCGCCTCAGCCAGTTTTTCTCCATTACACACTGATCTTATGCAAACTGACCACATTTGTTTGTTTGCTGTGAACTGAAGGTAGACCTGCATTTTATCTACATATTGCTGGTATCTGATTTCAAGTCATCTATCCCTTGAAAAATTTTTGAGCATTTTATCATATTCTCCCAGTTCCTGGTGCCACTTTTATGGGTAAGAATTTTTTTTTTTTTCAGGTGAAGTAGAATTTCTTTCATGGTCAGTGGTTTCAGATAATACAGAGAGGTCAGGGAAGATGAAAAAGGATGTTTGCCCCTTCTCCAGTATGAATCTGTTTATTCAGGCCACTCTGATGGTTTCATTTTAGCACTGGACTCACTCCAGGCTGTGCTCAGTCTAGGATATTAGCTTCATCACATAAGCTTGTAGTCAGCTTTTGGCCAGCTTCTCCTAGAATGTGTTCAGCAGGTTTGATAGTAGAAGAAAGATGACTACATCTAATGCATCCAGGTAGTTCTTCCCTTTTTTAGACTATTATATATTTGGGGAAAGCAAGACTCATTCCCCGAGTGACTGACTTTCAATCAGGAATTGTGCTCATTAGCTGGCTTCTTGGACATTTTTTTTTCAATGAAGTGGAATAATGGTTCCTCACATTGCTTAATACTTGCTTCTGTGCTGATCATGCAGGATTCATAAATTGGTTTACCATCTTGGATTGCTCTTTAGCATAGGGTTTAGTAGCCTTAATAGATGCAGAGATCTCAAAGCTTGCTCAGATTTTGAGTAATTTATTATTTCAGGGTATACAACCATTATTTTTCATCCTCCCCTTGGCATTCAATGAAAGTATTAATAACAAATACAAAAACAGGGAGATCAATATGAACAAGGAAAAGGTGAGATTGACACAGATCATATAACAGCAATGGGCTGCAAGATCAACTTTTTCTGCTATTACATTGCTATTCCGTTTTTTGCTAGTACATTTGGAGAAGAGGCGGCTCAGAGGGGATATGATTAATATGTATAAGTTCAGGAAGGGAGAATGCAGGGAGGAAGGGGACAGGCTGTTCTCACTGGTGGCCAGCGATAGGACGAGGGGTAATGGACACAAGCTGGAACACAGGAAGTTCCGTCTCCAGGTGAGGAGGAAC